GCAGGCTCGGCAGTGACAGCGAGACCCCCTTGGCCTCCCCGAACTTTTGACAGGTGTCTGACGCCTTTGCGGGGGTCGCTGGCGTTTTCTCCAAACTTTAGTGAAAGTCAGGCCGGGACTTTTTAACTTCTGCTGTCTTTGATTTTGGCACAGTGTCTTTTCATTGTGGTTTAACAAGGGAAAAAAGCCCCGAGCGAAACACCTAAGCATATTCTGTAGCATTGCTGAGAACAGCTTTTAAGCATTTCCAAGGTGCAGACTCATGGTCTACTTAAAAATGTGGCTGTGTGGCAGCGTTAAAAAGCAGCAGATAAATGTAATGTATTACAGAAGTAGGTGAAACAGATTTACTTGGGCCGTCGCGAGAATTTACTTTTGAAGCAAGTTGCTGTGCTGGAGGAGGGTATGTTGGCAGGAGATTGAAATGTATCGGGCCAGATGAGGTCCGAGAGGATGAAACAGTAAGAATAAAAAAGAGTAAGAAGGGTATGGAATAGGAGTTTAGCGAGGCGGCTGCAGTCATGTCTCGAGACCAGACTTGAGGGAACAAATGCATCCTAATAATGCATGTATTGGAGTAGATAAGTGTAGATATGCCTTTCATTTCCTAATGAAAGGCTCAGTTTGAGTAATTTCCTAGTAACTTGTTTTCACAAATATGATGATGTGCATATTAAGGTGGTAAAAAAAAAAAACCCAATCACTTTTGAGTCACAGCCACTCTTGTCCACTTGACTTTGTCTTCAGAGAGTTTAACATTTAGAAAACAGTGTGAAGAAGATACAGTATGCTTAGAGTGGTGAGAATTTCTGTCAGTTCAGTCTGTAGTGTCTTGAGGTATTAGAAAAGTTCAAATGCTTCAGAAATACCTATTCTAAAGTCTGATTTTGATTGCATTCCTTTACAGGTAATGGCTTATATGAGTTTATAAGTTTTATCAGTGATGTAATATACCGGTATGATGGAATTGATTCATGCCCTGAAAGTGGTGACAGCTGGGGCCATGGTCTGCCTTTGTTCATTTGTGAAGGAGATGCTGTTTTTTCTCTATGGACTTCCTTGGCGTTCCTAGATAAACAAAGGCAGGTTTAGCTTCACAGAGTTTGAAAGGAACAAGAAAATGGAATGGTTTGTACTGATACCATTTCCTTCTATTGATACGGTCTATTATTTAAAACTTATCCCAGCAACACTTCTGTCACTTTCAAAAAGTGAATTTGATTCTCATACAGAGCACCGATTTTTTTTCAGTCTTTTCTGATTTCTGACACTCATTTTTCTTCCCAAGTTTTCTGCTGCTTGAGTGTAATCTATGAGTGGTACATCTAAGCTCACTAATAAGTCTTGGTTTGGTGTTTTGGTTTTTTGTTGCTGGGTTGGGTTTGGTTTTTTTTTTTTTTTAATTCATCTTTTATGGACTCCTTAGAAGAATTCCTTGACAATCTGCATTTGTGGATCACATGTTGAAGACTGTTGTCTTGGAGTCTTCCTTTTGCTGAGTGCAATGCTTGTTTATACCCTGGATAAAAGAATAGTGGGGCTTTTAAAGCAAGACAAAGTCGAAAGTGACTTGTGAGATCCAGTCCCACTGATCTTAAACTACAATCTAATTGCCAGTCTGCAAGGGGCAGTAACTGAGCATAGGAGAGGAAGGACCAGCTGGGATAGTGGGCCTTTAGACCAAGGTAGGAGCTCAAAAACAGTAGCTCAGAAGAAAGGACAGGAGGAGGGTGTTTCAGGCTCCTTCAGGGCCTTAGCTTCTACCAGGTTGTGTCAAGTTAAACATAGTAAGACACGGTTTAAAAAAAAAAAATAGTCTGGAAGTAAGGAAATAGCTAGGAACGTCCTTTCCATCTCCCAGTGTGGACGTACGTGTTTCACTACAGCTGCAGGAAGGAAGCTGTGGAGAGGGATTAGAACTGAGGTTGTGCATTGTTGCTCCTGCACTATTTCTGTGCTGCTGAGTCGAAGGCGACTGTAGTGAGACACAGTGCAGTATATATTCCAGAGAAGTTGCTACAAAAAAAAAAAATGGATAGAAGCAGGTAGTCAGATAAACGATAGGAGTGAGAGAAGAATAGAACAGAATATCACAAAATAAACTGAAAAATGAAGGTGGAAGACACTGTTTTCCTCTTACCTTGCATGTATATGAGGAGAAACGGGGGGAAAGATGGAGCTGATGCACAGAAAAGTAATTCTGGCTTCAAGCTTGTATGGAGATGGAGCAGCAAGCAGTTCTTTATGGAGCTGTCATGAGTAGGAAGAAGATTGATGCTGGAGTATTCCAGATTGACATGACTGCTTCTGGTTCCCAATCTTTAGTTAAAGACTTTGAGGGTAGAAATGTAACATAAACAGCTTTGCCATTTGTCTAACAGCAAAAAGCAAAACTGAAATCTTTTGTGTATACAAGCTATAAATCAAACTAATGGGGAACAGTGGTATTGCTATACACTCTCTCTGTGCTAGAGAAATAGAACTTGTGGAAAGTATCTCATCTCTGAACAAATATGAAGGCAGAGAAAACTGCCTGTGGACCAGCCAGAAAAACTTAAACATCAGTTTCAGACTAAACACTGATATGTGACTTTGCTTTTTTTTTTTTTTAATTTGTCTAGCTGGGTCCTCAGTGCCCACGTGTTGCTGAGGAATGAGTAAGACTGAGAAGGTTGTAAACTTTTTTGTTTGTTTTTTTCACTTAGGAAATCTGTGAAATAGCAAAAGAATGACATTGTGGGAAAAAAATTCTGCATTCAGTCTCAAAGACCCTCCTGCCATTTAGGAGGGACAAAAATAACTTAAGAGTTTCTTTTGCAAATGCATACGATTTTCAGGCTTTTTGTAGGCTCATCCTTTCCTAGAGTAATTATCACGTTCTGTATTGCCACATGGATTGAGGACAACTTTCAGTTTATATTTGAGCATGTGAGTGGTTTTTGCTTTGGGTTTGTTTGTTTGTTTGTTTTGGGTTTTGTTTTTATTTTTTGGTTGTTTTGTGGGGGGGCACAACAGCCTTCTGGGTTTTAGGTTGAAGGAAGCCATAGCAATGCCGTAAGCCTCATGGTCAGTATTATGTTTTGAAGACAAATGTCTAACATCAGCATGCTCTTTTACCTGAGAACTGTTTTGTGTTTGTTCCTTTATTTATATTAATTGATTTTTTTTTTTTTAAATCTTCATTTTTTGAATGAAGTAAATTTTTTTTTTTTTAATATCACTTTTATTTGGCCAGCTGGCTGGAAACCTGTTGAGACTATTTTGATAGTTCTCTTACCTACCCACCTGCTCAGAAGATTGGTGCAATTAGAGCAAGGCTGATATTTAGGCTAGGTTCAATTCCTAACTGTAACTTCAGAAGTTACATCTTAGTGCTGGATCTGGGAAAAACTTCTGTTTAAACATCTAAGTTCTGAGATAGATAGGTCAGTGAAAATGCAGAATGTTCTTTTTTTCTAAAGCTTGACATATTCGCTACAAACATCCTTGAAATTAATATAGTTACTGAGTATATATGATAGCTAAAATAATCATGGAAGAGTTGAAGGGAGGTGTTGTCATTAGAACAGTGCACTGGGATGCTGGAGCTGTGATTCCATTTTTGTCTTTCTGTCTAATCTCAGGCAAGTAGCTTTTCCTTTTTGCTTTTTACCTATATCTAAAATGGCAATCCAGGATACTTCATATGAGTATCCAAAGCGGACTAATGCTGGAAGGTGATGTGGGAGAAAGTTTATATGTTTAAAATAACATTATAAAAAACTCTTCACATACACTGCTTGTTTGTCATATCATGCAGTCAGAGCTAATGTAAAGCATGGTATCGCTTATTTTAATGCTAATGTTTTGACCCTGAATTAAATCAAAATGTGATCCAGAAAGAATGACCTCGAATCAAACTGAAAACACTCCAGCAGCTGAAGTAGCACATCAGAATCATGAACAGTGCGAGGAAAACACAGTGAGTGAATAAAAACTGACCATGCTATCTCACTGTGTTTTTTGAAACTTAAGTATGGGAGAGCTGATTAGGTTTGCACTATGCCTTTGCTCTCCTGAATGATAAATATTAACCATGTGCTTGGATTGAAAGGTCTCATACTTGCCTGCAGAGTCTTTGGGCTAAATTAAATGTAAGGAAAAATTGTAATGCAATGGACAGGAAGTTGAGACCCTACATTCTCTATGACCTTCTGTGTGATCTCAAAATGGTTGCTGTTCCCTCCTCTGCATCTCTTTCTCCCTCACCAGTGTCCAGTGATATTGCATGTGTGAGGCAGACGGAGGTACCTGCACCTGCAGAGGTCGACTGAAGGATAGCGTGCTGCAGTTCAGGGCCTTGGATCCTAAGCTCTTGAAGGAACTTGCTATGTATTTGTATAGTGCCTGCCATGATGAAGCCCCTCCAAAGTTTGCGGAAGTCTATAGGCATTACTTTAAATAAAGCTTTTGGTTGTGGTTTTTTGTGATTGATTGCCAGTATTGCAGTATGGGTTACTTTGAGTCATTTGGATACATTTGTGCATGTTAAAATTTCAGCCTTTTGCAGTAAAGCTTGGATGTTTGCTGTGTGTCAGTTTATTTCAAAACCTACCCAGTTTTGCTCTACTTAAAGGGCAACATGTTATAATTCCATGGTGTGACTTAACTAAGTTTACAAGTATAAAGAATCTTTCAAACCGTAAACTTGGTAAATGAGCTGAGAGTTTGACAGCGAATGGTGGATGTTGTGGCTCATGCATAACCAGCAGTAAAAGTTGTGTGACTGAAGTGCAGGCTAGAACCAGTTTGGTTTGTTCCTGTGTTTGTGGGTTTGGCAAGGAAAAAAGTCAATAAGGATCCGTTTTATTTCTCTTGCTAGTAACAGCTATCCAGCGTGGTGCCTCTGACTCTGTCAGTCTACAGCATGAGTTTACCTGGGTGTAAGAGGAGCTGTGAGAAGGTGTCTTTTTTTTTTTTTTTTTTTTTTTTCCTTTTAAAAGACAACATTTGAAGTAAATCTGTACTCTTCATGATAATAAGTGGGGGTACTCAAAACTAGGGTAATACCTTGAGCAGCCTGCTCTAACTGGACCTGCTCTGACCAGGTGGCTGGGCTGGAGGCCTCTGGGGTCACTTCCAGCCTGCGTTTTTCTGGGGTTGCAAAAGGTGAGCGCACTGGGTGCTCATTACAGAAGCAACTGATTCAGTCTGCCTGTGGTAGTTGCCAAATTCGAGTCTAAACTACAGTTACCTTTAAAAATCCTTTCTGTTTTTTCTAAAAAATTGTGTTAGTATTTCAGCATTTTTAATTATTAATACCGAGATAAAGGATGCAGAATTTCTTCTTGCATAGGAAGTATATCAATGCATTGCTGAAGCAGCCTTTATTTTGTGATTGACTTGTTTGGCATTACTAATCTAGTTCATTAATTTGGAAATAAGAACATAGTTAAACTTGGTTTGCTCACTGTCACCCACCTTTCTTATACAGAGGCTTTATTACTAAACAGTCCAGATATGGAAGCAGTAATTCTTGCCACCAACTTCCCTTTTTCCATTTTGTAAAGCTTATAAACTGAAAATGTAGATGCCTGATTTAGGAAACCAAAGGAACCAATGACCATGAGAGTTAAAGGGGAGGTATTTATCTTTCTAGTCATAAATACAGGCAAGGAATGATCCATAAAGATATGGGTTTGTTAGAGGCAGTTCGTAAAATTTTAATGTGTGATGCAGGAATGTGGGATATCTCTGTTTTCTGAACTATCTACATGGAATAGTTAGTGATTTACTGACTGTAGCAAGGATGTAACGTAGCATCCATATTTAACACTTTTTAAAATCTGTATTTAATATTTTCTGATAAGCAGGCTTGGATAACTTGTGCTCTGGAATATTAAAGGGACTAAACCAGGAGTGTGTGCGCTTGCATGCACTCTCTGTTTTCAAGAACAGCCTTGGGTGTAATGAGGAAATAGCAAAAAGGTGAAGGATTGCCATGTAATTCCACTCTCTGAAAAGGAGACACTAGTTTGAGATTTTCCTGCTACACTTACTAGATCTATCTTCTCACTAAGACTATCATAGAGGCATTTTTAATACCTCTCCTCCTACTGCCTGGCATGCATAGCAGTAGAGAACCATCCGAGAGCAGCTGGAGTTTTACTGTAGTTATTGAACTGGTTTTAAGGATACCTGGATGAAATTTAATGGAAGGAGGTGTACAGGAAATGAAACTATGTACCTAACAGCTTCTTCTCTCTATGTACTATATGGAGTTACAAAATGTTATTTAATAGAACTGTTTAGCTGACTCTAATACAACATGCTTAGGTTTTTAAAATTATTTGTCCAATGTATCCATTAACTATTCTTCATAAAGCAGTCTGTCTTAACAACCATGCCTTAAGGCTTGTCTGAGGTTTGTTTTCAGTTGAACATCTAGATCTATGTTGGACTGTACAGATTTGGTGTAGTAGAATGTATACAGACTTTTTACAGTTACTTAAACTTAAAAAAAAAATCCCAAACAACCCTTGGTTATACTTTTTTTTTTTTTAAGTTATTTAAGTCAGAAAGTACAGCTAATAGTGGTGTTAAACAGACTAAACACCATTTGAGGGAGTGGTGATAGGTGACAAAGTTGTAGACAAGCATGGTACTGATTTAAATAATTTGAAGCACTTGTTTCCACTAAATTTCTTATATACCCATTGTTCATCAACTGGTCTTTTTAGATCTGTAGATCTGAAGTACAATGGGGTCCTTGTAGAGGAGGGTGGTAGTGAAATAAAAAATGGCTGAGAAAAGTTCAAAGAGGAGGTTTTTAAAGAGTAAATTTTAGCTTTTGAAAACAGAAAGCTTTCTCATTTCCTTACAGGCATACTCTTGTTGGAAACACCTCAAGGTAGTTTCCTCAGTGTGAAATTGGATGGCTTCAGCATAGTTTGACACTGGCTTATGAAATTTCTTTAATTTTGTAATAGATAAGCTGCAGACTGAAAATGTCTGGCTCAGATTAAAAGTGATAGAAGATGCTGATATTGAGATAGAGTAAAGAAATCGGCTGTTTTTCATAACATCTGCTTCCACTAGGGGATTTTTGGGTCCCCCATTTGAGATGTTGCTATAGGATAAGAAAGTCTTGATGAATCGGTGATTTACACCAAAATAGCATACAAATATTTGCAGGTGGAATTTGTAGATAATGATAAAAACTATCCAGGCAACTAGAGAAACTGCAGGGTGCTTGGTTTGGTTTAATTCCCAGCAGTGGTTCGTGCCCTGCCTTGGAGGCTGGTTACAAGGAGTTCCTCCTGACTCTATTCTGGGACCTGTCCTGCTTAGCTTTGTCACTG